AAAATAATCAATTTGTGTTTTATTAGATCCACTCTTATAAGTAATAAGATGTTCATCCCTTTTCTTGAATAAAGTATTAGTAATAATAAAATCATACGCTAAAGCAAAATCTAAAATAGCTCTACCTTTTTCATTTATACACTCCAACGTAGCCACCATGAATATTTCTGAAATTATTTTTGAAGTTTGAAGTCTTCTATCACTCTACCGACATGTCCATTTAAATCTCCTCCAATAAAAATTATTTCTTCAAGAGATATCATTTGTATTAAGTCTTCTAAGTCATTCCAAAATTTATCTTTATCTAAACCTACTTGAGAAACATAAGCACTTATAATATTAAAAATCTTAGTATCAATGATAATCTTAAGGGTTATAATTCTATCTCCAACTCTATTAATTTTTACAACATTATCTTTCAAACTCTTATCTATAATTACACCTACACAATTGCTAGTGCAACTCTTACCAGAATACCAAAGTTTAAAACATAAATTATCAATTTCCTTAGTCTTTTCTCCAACCCACTTAGTTTCTTGAATACATAAGATATTAATTTTCCTATGAATCATAATATCAACTAATTTTATTAATTTACCATTGAGAGTACCTATATTCCAAGATCCTATCCTAATTTTAGTTTCATTAGTTTCAGGAACTAACTTCTTTACCTACATTCGCCCGTAATATGAGAACTCTTGCTTATCTAACACTACACCCGGGCGCCGGTGTAGCGGCCCTTGCACACTGTTCACTGTATTTAGTCTATACAGCGCGTCACTTTCAGGGGACGCCCTAGCATTACACAATGAGAAAAAAAAATTCATGTCATGATTTTTTTCGACAAGTTTTACGTTGGTTGTCGACCAACTAACACAACCCTCCACTTTTCACATCCGGGCTTGGGACGAAACATTTTATGTTCCCACCCAAAATGATCAAGAGTTTGTCCCACATTGCTGCGAGAGTTTCTCCTTAAAGTTTGGGGGGGTGGGTTATAAGAAGAAAGAGGAGGAATTATATTACCTGTCTTTTATGCATTTAGGTAGTAATGGAGACGAAACATGAAAAAAATTGATTTAACGGAGCGTTGGATTTAATTTTTATTTTTTTTGTGTTTGGCTTGAATTAAGTTAAATTCACGGCTAAATCTTATTAATAGTATGCTGCCAAACACCGCCTTAGCCATCTCTACGAGGCACCTATTGTGTGAAGCTACATTGTTTAAATGTTAATACCCTTTCAACTAGAAGTTGCTTTTTTATATTTCATACAACCCTTTCATCATATATTTCGTGTTGCACATAAACTACCAGAACCAAAACATCTGACATTCAAATCTGCTCTATATCAGGCTCATCCTTCCCTGTCTGAATCGGAATGTCTGAAGCTATGTAAGCTCATCGACTGTCAAAAACTCTCCCAAGAAGCCTCAAACCATGCAGCTCAGAATGATCGCCTTCCCGTTCAGATGACCGTTCGTGTCCTCTACTTCGAGCAGCTTCGTCTCAAGTCCGCTGTCTCAGGCTCCTCCGTTGATGCCGACGGCTCGTTTTCACAGAGGATTATTGGTAGCAGCGGAGTCCCGAGCGCCGCCGCCTCTCCTAGAGATAACTATGCGTCGCTACGAAGAGAAAACCGGGAACTCAAGCTTGAGATCTTGAGAATGAGAGTTAGGCTGAGTGAGTTGGAGAAGGAGCATGCAGTGATGAAGGGTGGGATGAGAGAAAACAAATCTGGAGAACATGGAAAAGCTTTCTTTTCTTCTCTGTCTAAAGGTATTGGAAAGATAGGATTTTTTAGTCCGGGTAATGGAAAACAGCATAAACATGCAAGGAAAACACAGGCTACAGATGGAAAAACTCACAGGAGACGGCAACGGAGATCATCTATTGCTTGAAGATTACGAACTTTTGTTTATTTTAGGCAAAGTCTTATATAGACTTACGAATGAGATGATGATCTTATGAGGGAAAATATATTACATTAAGAGTCATGATGCAAAAGTGCATTAGGACTTCAATCACAATGCGCCACGTATACTGTCTGACCCCACACTGCATTAAACTATTTAGTTTTTAGTATTCAGTGTGGTTGGACTGTACACGTGGTGCATTATGATTGGAGCCCTGATGTAGTTTTGTATTAGGTCTTTTGATGTAATATTTTTTCCTTATGAGGAGGTGAGAGTCGGCTTTGATGAATCCACAATATTGCTATTAGTTTTGTTTTAAGAGAAAGTTGTCCTAATGATCCCCTGAAACCTTGCAAGGGATCATATTAGTCACAAAGTTTATAGAAGTGTTAATTTAATTCTCGGGTTTTTTTTAATATGGCTTAAAATAGTCCTCTTCAAAACACTCTAGGGAATAATTTGACACTTTTATAAACTCTGTGATTAAAATAGCCGCATCAAAATAGTTAGGTGCTAATTTGAGATTTTCCTCTTTTGTTTTGTTTGGGGGTGGAGACTAGTTCAATAGGTGAAGGCCTTATATGCCTTTTTTTATGTAAGAGAAATTTTCATAAAATGTCATTTATGCTTTTTTTTAATTATTTTGGGTTTCTCTTTGTTAATTTCTGAAAGTTTTTTTGTTTAAAAGTATGTTTGCAATATCGTTATTGTTGACGTCTAATTTCTTATGTTTTTTGTATGGCCATTTACAATTTTACATACATACCACCCAATTCCTAATGTATTTTCAAATGTAACACATAACTTTACTCTTTTTGCATTTATATCACCCAAATCTTTCATATCACATAAAAAATATCACAATATTAACTACTAAAAGGCGAATCACACCTTTCATGTATAGGTGAGGTGGCATGTACCTAAAAATTGAAGTTTAGGTGTTAGATGTGTAAATACATTGAAATTGAGTGGTATGTATGTAAGTCTTCCTCTTTTTTTTTAATCATATACCTTAGCAATTTGTATTTCTTCTATACGTGGGGGTGAGTAAGAGAATATCTCACACAATATGTTGCATCGACATGGTTATGTCAAATGAAGTCAAATTTGTAGTATTTCAGACCGTTTTTTTTTAGCTCAAGGTTTTATGATTGAAGTATTTAATTAGTCGGACATCGGCTTATTTTTGCTAGCCTTGACTTCTTATGATAGTTAGGAGCATAGAATGATTTGTTGAGGATTGCTAAAGTATTGTTCTGTCGAGCACATCAAATGAGTTAGTCGTTTTTCTTTTATTGTTTTATTTCACTCATGGAGCAGAACATGAGAAGGCCTATATAAATCATAAAATATGTCATCCAATAGATTTTTGGAATTGTATTCGATAGTTATCATTATTTAGCTTTCATAACATTTTTTGAACTTCTTTTAAATGTTTTGACCGTTGTATCATTTTCAAACCACCGTTGTAATTTAATATAATTTGATAATGAAATCTTTATTGTCAAAAAGAATGTGAAATAAATGATCAAATATTGTGTGATTTATGTGTATCGTTGCGAATCTAGAGATTATTTCATAATCAACATAAGAGAATAAAGAAAAAAGAAGGGTTTGTTAATCCCTTCTATAAGTAATAGAGGATTAGATCACACAAATAAAAAATTAAAAATAATATAATTATCCCTTTTACGCATCGTCTTTCAGATAGATAGAAAGCGACCAAAATGAGCTCCAATGCTAAAACAATTGCATCAAGATGGTTGCATATGTATTCGATCTAATTAGACCTAAACATTGGGAGGGTCAGGCTTAGTGTGCGTCGGGTTGATTCGGACTTTGACCAATCAAAACAGGATTTGGTTGGGCCTGAGCTCGATTTTTTTTAAAATTCCATAATTAAATCCTCCCGTTAAATGAATCAGGCCGGCCTTTAGGCCTTAAAATACTCATGATCTTCTTTTTTTCTTTGGGCGAATCATGAACAAAGATTTACAAAAATAAATAAGCAGTCAAAGTTAAATCATTAAAATCATATAAAGTGTTACATACAACTCACCTTAAGTAAAAACTGTGGGTTATTTCGGGGTTATTTCGGAATTATTAAAAATAACCAAAAAATAACCTAAAAATAATTCAGAAATACCCTGCGCTGCACATAGAGCTACGTCAGGAGTCCGCACAGAAAAATTTTTGCTCTCAAACCCATGTCTAATCCCAAAATCATATTATTCTGTACCACTTGTACCCATGCACATCAGACAAGCAAACGGTGAGAAGTATTATATATAATGAAGTCTTAGCATCTGCGGAAAAAAAAAGTATTTAGTTTTATATATGAATAAAAAATTAATATTTTAATGAACAAATTTATATTTAAAAATATATTTAAAGGTTTATACTTGATAAAAATTATCTTATAATATTCTAAGAAAAAAAATCTTCAGAGAGTACAACTCACAATATTAATTCATGGTAGCAAATGTAACATCATTTTAAAAATAAATTAATTTATTAAGTGCAGCATTACTCATTAAATAACCTTAATACATGAGATTTATAATTCATGAGCATATCTAACGTTTCAGCCATGTGTTAAGGAAACATACCAACTTGCCTCTTGCTCTTCCACCGAAAAATAAAATAAAATAAAATTACAAATCATTAGACATTTTGCCATTTGATCAAGCCTAAAAAATAAAGTTGGTTCCGCCCCTTAAAATAGTAAAGTGATATGTGTTAGGTCTGGCTCATATACCAAGAATTTGTAGTCACTTGAATTTGGAGAGGTGTGTCGTGTGTCGTGTGTCTCCTGGAATGAAGATGTGTGTCTCTTGGATTAGTGGGTTGGGGGAGCGAGAGCGTGTTTGTAAATTTATCTGTGGGTTTTTTTATCTATAAATAGATGTGTAACTCTATGTGTATCTAACTCCTCTGAAATATTGAAATTCACTGCTCGCTCCCGAAGATGTAGGCATCTTGCCGAACCTCGTAAATCTCTGCGTTCTTCTGATTTTATGTTGATTTTGTGTTCTCTTTGCCCTAAATTTTACAACAATATGCAAGTACGAAATTGATATTTATGATTTAGATATGTAAATACATAGGAATTGAGTGGTATGTATGCAAATCTTCCTTTAAAATATCATCTAAACACTAGCAATAAATTAATGTGCAAATCAGTTCTTTAAAATAATAAATTAATGGGCAAGTCAGTCCTTTAAAATATTAATTAATCCATAATTAATGAAGCTGTCATCGTTAAAACAACTTGTGACAATCACATGGTTCCATGCACCGTTGGATTGATCTGGTAGGCGCATCAGTAACTTTATTTCATAAATAAGTGAGGGTAAATCTATGAAGAAATTGAAGGTTATGAAAAGAGAAAATAAGAGAAAAATGTGGTCCTTATTGGGAGTTAAATTTCAATGCCTAAAATCTCATGAAACAAAAATCAATGGCGAAATATGCTATTGAATGTTCCCATTCTTAGCTGTTTGTGGGGACTCATGGAATGAATTTTAGCTATTAATAATTACGGGACCTTTCTATGGCCTTTATGGTTGGCTGATTCTATAATGGAATGTAGAATCATTTTGGTTTAGTTTGTTTTGACTGTTGTTTCTTGGGTGCCATTTATTTGATTAGCACGAGGACAATGTAGTTTGCCTAATGATGTTCACATATTAGGATATCATACTGTTTTATCTATGCCATCTCTATGGTCGATAGGGCTAATGACTTTTAGCCTTGGCGCTCGTTATCTCCACAATGCAATATTTTGATATAAATGCCTTGGTGATTTCCATCCAATATTTCATCCTATCATCCGATCATTACATGTTGACTAATATCTTTTCATATGAACTCACCGTCTTGAGACCCATATCATAAGTATATCCTCTTTAGATATATTGGCATGTTGGACCATTTTTCTAGAAAGGCTCATGCATAATTCATTTACATGAGAAAATCTCATCATTTAGAAAGAATTAATGCCAACCTCTTTAATTAAAAATGACCTAATGGCATTAACTGTTAGAAGCCAAAGATGACACCTAATTTACTTCCTTAACCTTATACTGATCGACTATAGTGACTTTTATATAAATATTGAATCATCGTGCCTATATTGTGGGGTCATAAAACCACCTTCATGTTGAGCAAATTATTTTATATTACACAGACGCTTATACTTCATGTATTTAAAATATATGCAAGAAAAGTTTAGTTGCATCCCCCATCCAAAAGATATATTTATCGCTCGTCAAGCATTTGGCTCTTAAATTATGTTATTAATTTTTTTAGTAGGCATCATTGAAGGGGGTTAAAAACATACTCACATTTATCATCCCTATGTGCGTTAGAATTAGGAAGGCTTTCACCTCGCATGGTGAAAGAAAGTTCAACTTGGGCAACTCCTCTACTTGTCTTCGTCTTAGCGTTCCATTTTTATTGTCAAATATCAGGACATGTATCTCTTTAGATATTACAATCCCAAGTTGAATTTTTTTCTCTTGTCATTGTGGAATATATATTAGTCTCGTTCCTTAGGTGAATCTTTTCTATTTTCTTTGATGATTAATAAAGGGTTTTTATCCTAACCCATATTTTATGTGTCATCCCTTATGTGTTGAGATCTATTTCATTCTCACTGTGTTGTTGATCTCCTCTTCTTTGAAAATGATTAATGGGCATAATACATAGATTTATAAAATTTTGCAGCCAAAATTAACATTGACGAAAAGGTCCAAAAATCCTTTAAAATGATTGATTAAGTTTAGCCACAACATGGTTGCATTATAAATGCTTTTATGGAAGATGGCTTCCAAGGCTGGTCACAAAAGTGATAATAGATCAAGGCTCATTTGCGCTCTAGTTTAATCAACTCAAACTTAGTCATTTTATAATGTGATCTTCCGGTATACTGCCTAAGGTTTCATACTTCATCACAAGGAAATAGGCTTGATTAATAAATAACTTTATGATCTTAACAAAAATAGGTAAAGAAACACAACTAATATTAAAACTCAAATAAATAGAATCTCAATTGCTTTCACCAAAATTCCGCAAAGGAACAAGGGAAATCTACATGCACACCACACAATTCTTCGCAATTTACATATCTAACACCTAAAGTTTGATATTTACATTCATAATATGTTTGTGTTATTTATAAACTTATGCATAAAAAGGACCATTTGACTACTATAGTAAAGTTGTATTTTTGATATAATGTAGATTTAAGTGCTATGAATGTAAAAAAATAAAGTTAAGGTGTACAAACTAAGAATTGTATGGTATTTATGTAAACAAATATCAATGAAATTCATCTTCATAAAACTAACTTATTACACTTGTTGAAGAAAATGCATGCCGAAGGATGGAACTTCCAAATCCCCTGCAATAGAAACTTACCACGAGAGACACAAATAACTGAATGCTAGCTTAAAGAACACAGTACAAGAAAACAAGAATGTAACCAATAATTACGTGGTTCGGTCCATAGGACCACCATCCACGGTAGGGAAATCAAACAACAAATCCACTAAGACAATAAAAAAGATTTACATAGCTTTTACATTTAGAAATAAGCCCTCATC